GACAGAGATACATATTTGTTTTAGATATATATTTTTTAATATAAAAATATTTGGTATTTGTGAAAAAGTAATAATTAAATATAATTAATAAAAAAATATTTTGATCAATAATTTTGTATTCTCGCTAATAATTAATATTTTAATCAATAATTTCATGTTCTCGTGTACAAATATTATTTTTGTTTAGGTATCGTTATCAACAATATTTGGATCAATAGTAAGTTTTTATATATAAAAATATTTAGATCAATAATAGATTTTTTTTCCTGTATACCATTTGATCGTACCTGATCATAAAAGATTGTCAAAGCCCACAAACTTCAAGTCGGACAACAGTTGAATGTGAAGTGGGGAGGGGGAGGGGGGAAGAGGGTATCTGTAAGACATTTTGATGCTAAAGTAAGTTTATGAGCAAGTGCAGGTAGAATGTGAAAGTATGGATGAATGAACGAATATCTGACCCTCTCAAGTGAGAGGGTATTTATATCTCTCAACGCTGGGTCAAGGTCCCCATATTGGACTGACAGAGCAGACCCAAAATGAAGACTGTCAAGATCTACGTGAGTAGTGAAGACCAGCGCGTGATCTCCCTCCTGAGTGGACTACTCCAAATTATTAGGAGGACGTGGTTGCAGTATTTTCGAGATAAAGATGACTCCGGGATACTCGGAGACGTGGGCGTCTGCCCTACGAGGAGGGTGTCCGTCAAGACCTCATGGGAGCCGTTAACACTCCTCGACAGTCCTATGACGAGGAAGGCCCAGAGGACATGTCCTCGGTGCAAGGGTGGAGTCGTTTCCCGACATAATTAAGGGCATACTCATTCTTGTTGGCCTTCGCCTGCAGTATGGTTGGATTGGGCCTTGTATATTGTTTGGGCCAAACACAGGTCCAGTCCAGAACACATTTATTGAAACAAAAATATTTGAATCATAAATACTATTTTTCGTATATAAAAATATTTAGATCAATAATAATTTTTTTCCCGTATACAAAAATTATTTTTGTTTAAATATTGTTTACAAAAATATATGGATTAATAGTAAATTTTCATATATAAAAAAATTTTAGATCTGTAATAGATTCTTTTCTGTATATTATTTTTTATAAAAAAATATTTAGATTATAAATATTATTTTTGAATAAAAATATTTAAATAATAATGAAATTATTTTCGTATAGAAATTTTACTTTTATTTACATTTAAAAAAAATTAAAATTCATACTTTAAGAGTTTTTCATCTCTTTGTTTTTTCTATACTGTATCTCTTCTCAATATGTCTTTTTTATGTCTTACACATATAATCTAGTATACATAAAATATTATTAATATAGCATATAATATCGTATAACATAACAAATTGAAATAGGAAAGAAAAGTAAAAAAAGTTGAAGGCAAAACAAATAAAGGCAAAGCAATAGATAAAGTTGAAATCTTTGATTTGAATGAAGATTAATTTAATATAAGTAAAAAAAGTGAAATAGAAAGGGGGAGAAAACAAAGTATTAAATGAGAAGAAGTGATGTGAAGAAACAAATAGTATAATAATCAAAATGCAGAAGAAATAATTAGAAGGTTAGGAAACAATTGGTAAAGAGGCGTGGCAGTTTTCAGCAAAAAGAATGAGAGTTTCTTAAGTCATCTATGTGTTGGTGTATATTCTAGAACTAGCACATGCTTGTCTGGGTTTGTGCTTAATGGAATGGGTTACATACAAAGATAAAAACAACTCCAAATTAAGCTCATTCTATATTCTTATCCTTTCCTCAAAAGACAAACACAAAAAGATGACAAAATATTCTTTCTCTTTTCTTTTGCCTTTTCCAAATACTAAAATTTTTATACGGAGTTTGAATTTGATAATAATCATTCAGATTCAAAAAAAAAAAAAATTTCAATCGGTCACTCTCAAATTTCAAATTCAAAATATAAGGTTATAAATAATAAATTTCTTAATCAATTCCATAATTTTTTTACGCACCACGTGAAATTTCATAAGTGCTTTTCAAAATCGAAAGTATACTTCTGATTTGCACTATACTATGCATGAATTACGTTGGAAATGTTAGGTGCAAATCGGAAGTATACTTCCGATTCCAAATCGTAAGCATACTTCTGGTTCCTGGACGTACTAAATAGTGTCATGCCTCTTCCCATCCCATTACAGTAACCATTTTTAAAACAAAGCATAAAACTCTTTCAAACTCTCTCAAACTCTTATTACATCCTTCACATATTTGGTAAAAAAATCATCAGAAATCATCAAGCATTGGTTAAATATAGCATTCTATCGCAATCAATCAAGCAAAATCAACACCAATCAATCAAGTAAGTTATTTTTCAAATTTTTAGAGTTTATGTAATTTCTACTCAAATTAGTGAATTATGGTTTAAATTGTGATATTGTAGCTTGTTATCAACATTAAGAGTCATTAGAAATGTGTTTCTAAAGTTAATATCGTGATCAATGCCCTTTTTATGAGCTCATTTAGGGAATTGGGACGCCATTTTCTTTGCTTCTATTATCGCAGCAGGAACCAGAATTAAATTTTCGGTTTTATCTAGAATAAAGTCAGAAATATACTTCCAGTTTATGTCTGTGTCTGTTTTAAGGCTTGTTTTACACATTGGACCTTATGTTAACATTTTTTCGTACTTCTACAGGAGATATGGATGAGAGACCGTTATGATTGAGGCACGACAGGGTTGCACATCATACTTCTGTACAGAGAGAAAGAAGTCAGGCTATCCAACTGTGATACAGTGGGATAACTGGCTTTTGGTTTTGTATTTTATCGCAAATGTTGCAGATAGCAAGATCTGCCACCGACTTTTCTTTTATCCAATAAAGGAAAGGGTGAAAAGAACAGGAAAGACCTTTTGAGAATTTTCTGACTAAGGGGGTAGGTTATGAAAAGGAAAGGTGTTAGCACCCTTTTCATTCGTAGTTATCTACAGGCTCTTAATCACTAGCTAACTTTTGAAAAATGCTGTGTGTTTGAAAATATTTTGAAAATGCCTAAGTACGACAATTTTGTAATCATTCTCGTATCGTTGAGAATGTATAAGAAATGTTTATTTTGAAAATATTTATCGAAAAAGTGTTGTTTTGTGAAAAATGTTTTGAAGATGCCAATGTAAGGCAGTCTGCTTTATAATAACCCTTGTATCAGTCCTCAAGAGTGTTTATAAAGCATTTTGAAAGTAGTTATTTTTGAAAGTGTGAGATGTGAAAATTGTTTTAGTTTGTGAGCAAGCGATTACGAGTGATCTACCTACTCAAAAAGTCTTTGTTCTTTTCCTCCTCCTTTAGATAGTGTTACCCTACCATTAGTTAGTAGGAAGCCCTATCGTTGGATGTGCGAGGGACAAACGCGGGTCATTGTACAGTCACAGAAGGCAACTTGTAGAGCGCTTTAGAAATTTATCGTAAGGGACTAAGATCGTTTACCGAGGCAACATCGAAGGGTCATCGAGGGACTACAATCTTTTAACCGAGGGTCTTTGCTAAAGTATCCCGTGTTTGAAGGACATGACTATTTTATCCGAAGGAAACAAGAGATGTTATCCTAAAGGTGCGTGTGTGAAAAGTGATTTGTTTTCAGTTAATTTGTCTTGAGGTTGGGTTTTCTAACGGTTGATTTTAAATCTTGCCATACATGCCTATTAACATACATCTAGCAGTTATAAAGAAAGCGGTAAAGTGCGAAAAATAAATTTCTACGCTATTACACGACTTCGGGAATGGGGGTACAAATAGTAAAAACGGGGAAAATAGAAACCCTAATTAACTATTACAAACCGTAAGCAGTTACAATAATCGAAAAAATGCGAAACTAATAAACTACGAGAAAATAAAAAGAGAAAGAAAATTATTTTGTGATTTTATCAAGTAAGGAAATTAAATCAAATAAAAGCTATGAACGAAGATTCAAGAATTAAAATTTGAAATAATATTTTGTGGTATTTTTATCATGAATCAATTACTAAATTATTAACGAAAATTATTCACAAAGTTCTTAAACTAATTTTATTTTTTAAAATAAACTAGTTAAGAAAATATTTAATTAGGAAAAAAAAGTATGTTACTAATAGAATTAACTAAAAAAACTAAACTAAAAATTAAAACAAAGATGAGGGGTGCAAACATAATTAAAAGGTGTGGAAGATAGAAGTTTCAAAATGGGCTTAAGGTTGCAGCCCAAAATCTATCATACCAATAAAACAACAGAAAGTTAAAAAATAAACAAAAAGAGTTGTGTGGAATGGACCGTTGCTGGGTCTGGATTGATAAAACATGGAGGGTGTAAAGTGAAATATGGAGATGTTGGGCTTGAGGATAAAAACGATAAAAGCTGGCCCAAAGTAAGATGCTAAAAAAAACTTAATAAGAATTAAACTATATATAAAAAAAATTATGTTGGGCCGGACCGGGTCAGTGGGTCCGGGCCCAACTCCACTCAATATTTGAACGGGTTATAAACCCTGAAATGAGGCAATGCCTCTTTCTCACATTCATCACCAATCAAATTTCTTTTCAACAAATCTCAAAAAAACGGAAACAAAAATCTCGCTTGCCCGATGTTCTCAGATCTCACACGCATCGATACCAATATGGATATGCTATTATTGACGAAAATCAAAGTTCCTTATCCCTAATTTCAATCAACATTTGCGGTAACACCTCAACAATAACGTTTACGGAAAAATGAAGAAGGGATAAATACTTACATGTCGGAGTCACTCCGAAGGTGTTTCAATCACGATGCAAACAAATCCACAGACATTTTGCTCAGGTATGCTTATAGATTCCTCATTCTTCTCTTCTTCTTCTGGAGTTCTGGATGTGTTTCGTTGTGAATTCGTGTAGTGACTGTTGTATGGTGAGGTGTGAGCGTATGCTTGTAGGTGTGAATCGAGTGAGCTGTGTGTTATGTGTATATCTCAAAAGTAGCACTAAGATGAGGCTACAGACTTTTGGTGTTGTGTTTTGAGAGTAATGGGCGGGTTTGTGAGGGTTAAGGGTGAAGGTGGTTTAAAGGTAAGTGGAAGGATATTAGAGTTACAGGGTGTATTGCAAAGGCACGTGAGGTTTACAAAGATGGCAGGTTTTAGCGTATGAGGGACAAATTTGCAGAGTTGATTGTTGTGATGTTTGCAGAAGGTTTGTTATTAGGTTTAATGGAGGTTATAGGGAGAGAAAGATGAGGTTTTGTGGTGATTCTTCAAGGGAGTGAAGGATATTGAATGAAGGTTGTGGAGAGATTTTTGAGTTTGTTTTCTACCCCCTGTGATAGTTTAGTAATGTTGTTTATATATGTGAGAATGAGTGAGTTTTGGAGGGAGATGGGATAGCTTTTGAACTAATTTGATGCATTGCTTCAATACTTATTTACTGTAGTATTTGTATTGCCATTTTGGTGTAAATTTGACAAGTTTGGGATTGTTCTATGCAGGTTGTGAAGTAGGTTATTTGGGACAACATTTCAGTTTTGGACAACAAGAGTTTGTATTGGCTTTGTGCAGGCTTTCAAAGGGATAACAAGGGGCAGCAGTCTGTTTTGGGCTAGTTTTGGGGATGATATGATGCAACAGCAGGTTCTGTTTGGGTATTTATCTCAGGTTTTGGACAGTTTTGTAGCTGGTCCTTGGACAACAAGTTTTTTGTAGTCTTATGGACTGCATTTTGACTATTTTTTGCAGGTTTCTTGGACCATTGTTGCCAGCAAGAAGTTGGAGCTATTTTTTGTTTGTTTTGGGACTGATTTGTTACAAGGTGGTTAAAGTTAAAAGATTAGGATATGCCATTTGTATCTTTCAATATCTTTTTCACTTGTATGGATTTTGCAACTTGAATATATCTTGAGAATTTTGTATAAAACTTGGTCCTTTAAATAGTATGAATAAATCTTATGAATGAAGCATGAACTTGAATAATAAATATCTGAAAGATCTTGTATAAAAACTTGAATGTGTCTTGGATATATCCTTGAAACAAATTATGACATTATTCTTGAATTCATATTGAATGATACTTTGGTTGTTTACTTTGAAGGATCAATATTTGAACTTGCATAAATCACATGAATGAACTTGAGCTTTGTATCTTGACTTCTAATTAATTCACTCGTATCATCTTCTAACTTTAATATTAAATCAAATTCTTGAACAAATTAAATGCCTTAAGAACTTTAATAAAAAATCCAATCCAATTATCATTAACGCTCAAACACAAGTGACTTGAATTTTTGAGCAACAAATGATCAATGAATCTTCAAACTTAGCTTGTCGCCTTAAGAATTATCTCAATGTAAGAATCAAGTGTCTTGGGAAAATTCTTATGACATGAATTGGAATTAGAAGTTAAGAACATTCTAAATCAAGAAAATGACCTATGACGTTTCGATAACTTTCAAGGTCTTCCAAACACAATTTTCCTTCGATCCTTGAAGAGAACTTATAGATGACATTTCTTATGACAAATGCAAAAATAATCGTCCCAAAAATGTTGAATATTGTAGAAGTTATGATCCTTGGAAGTCAGAAAACAAAAAACTTGAATTAGGTCAAAGCCCACAAAGCGATCTCTAAAGTATTCGAATTTTTGATGATCTTTCGCACATAATCTGCTCTTGACTTGTAAAGATAAGTTGGATATGACATCAAGGAGAGTCATAAAAAAAAACACAAAAATATTGAATAATGAAGAAGTTAAAATCGTTTGAACTTGATCTTGAAAATGTTGACTTTTTGGTCAATATAGTTTATTTTAAGTTATCTGAGCAATTGACAGAGCGTACTTGTGATGCAAGGCATGGAATTTGATATGAGAATTCTTGAATACATATGAATAACCATGAAAGCCACTTGAGACCTTGTAAACCAAATCTTGCTTGAGAAATACCAAACCCTAGTTGTGGAACCATTGCTTAGGAGGAGAATTTGTCTGATCAATTCTTGAGCCAACTTGTGCATTTGAGAACCCTAGGAGAATATCTTGAATTAAAAATGGGAGGGAAAGTTTTGGGGTACAACAACTTCCCCTGTTCAATCTTCTTAAACCTGGAGAGTTAGATTGGCATGTCCGTCATTTGTGACTTGAAGGTAGAAGATGATTGAACAATTAAGTGCCCAGAAATTTGCACTCGTATGTGCACGAAGTAACACTGTTGATTGATTATACCGGGAATGGGCTTAAAGATGCCATTTGGAGAGGTGATGGAGAGTCGTCGAAGATGGGCTTATAGATTCAATCTAAAGGTAACCGCTGATAGAAGTATCTGAATGAGTCTACGCTCGACTGTATCTGAAGAATGTTTTCCATAATGAACCTCTGGGAAAAGTGTTTGAGTAGCTGCTTATCATGTAGATAGTCTCCCCGTCCTATTTCCGGAATTAATCTACAATCTGCTTTATTGGTAAATTCGTCTTGTTTCGGGAATTCATATCATTAGTGATAAAGATAGTCGCCCCGTCCTATTTTGGGAATTGATCTTTATCTGACCATAAAGAGAGATAAATAGTTTCCTCGTCCTGCTTCGGGAGTTAGTCTTTGCTCGGTTGTAAAGAAAGTAAGATAGTTTCCCCATCCTGTTTCGGGTTTTAATCTTTGCTTTGCTTTGCTTTTTGTTGGCAAACTCGTCCTGTTTTGGAAGTTCATACCATTTGGTGATAAAGATAGTCGCCTCGTCCTGTTTCAGGAATTGATCTTTATCTGACCATAAAAAGGAAGATAGTTTCCCTATCCTATTTCGGGAGTTAATTTTTGCTCAATTCATGTAGACTGTCACCCCGTCCTGTTTCGGGAATTGATCTGCAATCAGTTTCCATAGATAGTTGCCCTGTCTTGTTTCAGGAATTAATCTGTGTCTGGTCATACAAATAGTTTCCCTGTCTTGTTTCAGGAATTAATATGTGTCTGGTCATACAGATAGTTGCCCTGTCTTGTTTCAAGAATTAATCTATAAATTGTTGATGATATTCACTTGTTTATAGATTTTACCTGAAAAGATAAAGAGTTAGTTGTATGCAATGTCATGATGTATGAAATGCATTTCTTAATGATGTTCTCAAAGTTAAATGAGAGTGTGCTATATGCGTTTTGTATGCATATGCTATGATATTTGTAAATGATGTACGAATGGGATGTGTATTTGAAGCGTATTGGTAACACCGTGCAATATCTTTGACTGGAAAATAAACCCCTGATTGTTATTGGGGATGAAGAATATGTGTAATCATCAACCTTGTCTAGAATGTTTCTGCTGGGGGTTCTTACTTCCTATTTGAGGAAACTCCGCTGGGGAATGTTGACTTCTGTTTGGGGAGAAGAGTTTAGGAACATCGGTTGTTCGTCGCTCTACTGAGGAATTTAATTCTTATATACCCTGACTGGGGATAAAAGAGATGGACAACCTTTCGAGGTGCTATTTGATCGAGTTTCTGATATGGATGTCGACTCTTCTAGGGAGGATAAGGTTAAGAGATATTTGGTTTGGTTCCAGATTCAGTAGCAACTCTATGGGGATAGTGGTTCAGACTACTCTTTTTTGGAGATGGGAATCTTGTCGGTATTTAGAGAAATAGACTCAAACTGGGGAGACTGAACTTTGCTAGGGAAATAAACCCTGTTGGGGAAATAAACCATGTTGGGGAAATAAACCCTAAACAAGGGAGAAATATTCTGCTAAGGAAATACTCTTGTTGAGGAAATGAGCTTTGTTGGAAAAAAGAAATCTGCAGGGTTTTTTACAGTTTTGGAGGAATAAACTCAACTGGGGAAGAGAATTTCCATAAATTGTACTAATGTCATAATATCTGATGGAGACTGGAATTCTGTGAGGTTGGCGATATTGCCGAGAAAAAGATCACATTCCTTTATCCGCTAGGGTGACTTGCTGGTGAGCATGATTAGGTTAATTCAGCCTCGCCAGGAATGTATCTTTGTTGAAAATGAGTTTATGAAGATGACTCCACGAGGATAATCCTATGAGGATATTTCTGTGTGGATACGTAGATGACTTGAACATTATTCCGACTCCTAGAGTCTTGAGAAAATGCTTATTCCTGTTTTTACGCACATATTTGTTTAACAATTAATCATATTCATATGCATATGTTCATTCAATTTTAGTCATTGGACGTTTTTTGCAAACAAAACAGAAAAAATAAAATGGGATTTAAATTTAGGATGTATTTGTATTGATAACTTGCCCATAAACAGGCGGTTGTTGTACAAAGAGACAGAAATCCTAGTAAGAGGAAATTGTCGTGAAATGAAAAGAGTACAAAGTGAAAACAAAATAGTAGTTATGTGGAAATAATCTCATCGGGTTCCAACTCTGCTATTGCCCCTATGTCTTCGGGCATCTCGTCCTTTGTTGTTGGAAGAGGTTGACTGGAATGATCTGTATCGTTTGAACTTGACATTGGTAACAAAACTTGTTGTAAGTGATCCAACAGGACATAGTCGTACGCTTTAATCCCTAACTTTTTCCTGGACCGCCCTTTCGGGTTTTTAGTCCACCGAGATACCCTTTTTTGCCCAAGCTGCCTTTTCAGGTTTTCAACTTGCCCATTGTATAAATTTTTTTATATATATCCCTAATTTTTTCCCGAACCCTTTTGGTTCGTCGGGATGCCCTTATTTTTTCCTAGGCCAGTCAGCCTTGCAGGTTCTCATTATATTATTCTTATATTATTCTTTGTTCTCATTATAATTACAACTAAACATCACAACTCAGTTGGCAAGCAAGCGTTGGAATTGGATATAAGGGTCTGGGTTCGATCCCCAGGTCCCAACCTTTGTTTCATATTATTTTTCATCATGTGATCAGGTGCAAAGCTGTCCAATACGTCCACCATATGCCATCAAGATCCAACCATCAAACGCATCTTCAGCCAAGATCCAATGCATTTCCATTGAAGGTTCACCATACACCTCAAGTCAGCATACGCATCAGATTTGGCAAGGTCAAACAGGCTTGGATTATTTGGGCCTAGAATTTCAGCAATATAACCCCACAATTGCTAACAATCAGGTCCATCTCTAACTTTTTTTATTTCTTTTCTTTAATTCTTTTAATTTTTCTTTTAATCATTTTAATTAACAAATTAATTATTTTTCATAAAAATCAAGAAATCAAAAAAATTAGAATTAGACTTTTTTATCAAAATTAATTTTATTAATTTAATTTAATTTAGTTTAACTTAGGGCAACCTTAACTTGTTTTCTATAATTAAAACTAATTAGCAAATTAGGTTTAAACTCTGATTTTATTTTATTTTCCCTTTTTCTCAAATAAATAAAAATACAAAAAAATAGGTTTTTAAGAGTGAATTAATTTATTTTTCTTAATTAAATAGGATTAGGATTTTCCTTTTTATTTAATTACTCATTAATTTTTTCAAATAACAAAATATGACAAAAACATTTTTTTAATTAATCACAATTAGGTTTAGTCAAGGGTCAAAACCCTAATCGCCTCGTATTTAATTCATCGTGCGTTGGTTAATTATTTTTGCCAATATTTTTGTAACTGCTCACTGACTTATAATAGTTAATTTAGGGTTTTTACTTATCGGTTTTTCCCCGGGTTTTTGGCTATGTAATTAATCCCCCACCCCGAAGCCTTGTAATAGCTTAGATTTATTTTCTCACATTTTTTTTAATTCCTGCAATTATTTAAACTGTTTAGATGTATACTAATAGGATTGTATGATAAGAATGCATGACAAATTAATACGGTTAGAAAACCCTAATGTGCAAAGATTAAATAACTAAA